CTGAAAATATGTCTGAAGTATGAGAGACGAAGTCTGGCCATCCTGGCCTCCAAGGAGCACTATGGCTGCACTTCTTCCAAAACAGATATATAGGTTCTTTTGGCAGCCCATGGCACTTCCAAAATTCTCCTCCAACACCATAACTCAAAAGCATCAATTCTAATATGGTCTTCCTTACCACTGTCCAGCTTTCACATGCATATGAGGTTATTGAAAATACCATGGCTTGGGTCAGGCGCACCTTAGTGTTCAAGCTGACATCTTTGCTCTTCAACACTTTAAGAAAGATCTTGTGCAGATTTGCCTAATGCATTACAACATTTGATTTCTTGACTACTGCTTCCATGAGTGTTGATAGTTGATCCAAGAAGAATGAAGTCCTTGACAACTTCAATCAAAGTGCAATAAAACAAAGTATGCTTATACTATGTCCAATATTTAAGAAGACCAAAGAACTGCTGCATCTGAATTATGATGTTGGCAAAGAATATTGAGTTTACCATGAACTGCCAGATGAACAAACAAATCTGTCCTGTAGAAAGTGCAGTCAGAATGTCCCTTAGAAGTGAGGATAACTAGATTTTGCCTAGCATATTTTGGGCATCTAGTCAGGCTGCACCAATCACTGAAGAAGCACATCATGCTTCATAGGGGTTCAGCAAAAAAGAGGAAGACCTTCAGTTAGATGGACTGACACATTGACTACAACAATAGATTAAGACATCACAAAAATTGTGAGCATAGTGCAGAATTGGGCCTTGGTTCATACTGCTGTACATAAGATTGCTGTGCTTTAGAACTCAATGGCATCTAACAACATTAAGATTTATAGGAAATGAAACTAGAAAATCAAATTCATAAATATAAGAACATGAAATACTTTTTGCAATCTTCTGATATTCTAATAAATATTCTAAATGGATAATAAATAGATATTTCAATATTTGAGTTCTTAAACCATTCCTTAATTAACTAACAGTTTTAGGTTTAAAAGATAGCATTTAAAACCACAATTTTGCTTCCTTACCTTGATGGAAATGTAAGTGATTTTAGCATGAGACGCTGGATCCTGTATTCTTCACATGTGAGACATGGCATATTTGAGTTTTGGAAATATGTCAAACCAATGCTTGAAATATTTACAATATCATTATAAAATTGAACAAGAATTTTGACATCTTGCAAGTTATAATTACTGCCCCTAAATAGAAATGATATGTTCAGTATATTAATAATTAGAAAATAAAATTTCAATTCTAAAATCAGCAACATTGTAATGCATAATAAGTATAAATTAATTATATAGAGAGTAAGGCTTGCCATAAAATATTTTCTAAAGAATTCATTAAAATAACTTAAAGAGTAATTGAAAGCAAAATAATAATAGTAATATTTACATTTCTATGGTAAAATATTTTGGGAATGCATTTTGGAAAAAAATGAAAATATATTGCCTTTCAGATGAGATGACTATATTTTACATTTGTCTAAGGTTAGACTAGTCCCTTTGTACCCGTTTTTATAGATCCCTCAAAAATTAACACAGTTCCTTGAGTAGGCTAGGTGTTCAAATAGCAATTATTTATGTTCTGTAGCACTTTATCAAATATTTATGACCTACATAGAAAATTTATAAATGCATTAATTTCAATATAAAGATAATATTTAATAAGTATAACTTCATGAACATTTTAAGTTTCACATACTAGGTCTCAACAATTCTTGGTAGTAGGTAGTCTGACATTTGACAAATGATAAAACTGAGGCTCAGAGCCTTCAAGCAGCTTTTCCAAGGTAACACAGCTAGAGAGTGCAGATGTTGAATGTGAACTCAGCAAATCTGCTAACTTCCCCATCTTTGAGGGATAGAAATGTTAGGCTTGGAAGTTGGTAGTCAAATTGGGCTTGCTTGACTCATTCTACCTACTCACTCACCATACTCCCTTTCATTACATAAAAATAAAGGAAAAGGACAGGAGAAAGAAAAGGCAAAGAAAAAATGAAAAATCTGTCTAATTAATTTTCTATTTTGAATAACAATTAACAACCTACTTGAGCAAAGATGACAAACTCACAGACACACACAGACCAGTTTAGGAAGAAACCATGGATGCACCTGTAATCTTGTAACCCAATATTAGTCTTAGATTTCATCTTACTTTAATTTCTCACAGCTTTTGGGGGAGGTAGGCCCAACAAATGCTATCATGTCCCCAAAGTCCATCTGCTGTATTTGAGCACCAGGGCATCCATACGAAGGTAAAGGAAGAGGAAGGACTGTAGAGGCATATGAATGATTGTAAACCTATTGGTAAGTGTGGATATATATGCATGGATGATTATTACCAATGATTCCCATTTTTACTATATAGTATTACATATTTTCTACAGGATGCAAATTTTATTGTTTTCATTGTCAAAGGGGAATTAAGTGTAGATGGACATATAAGGGCTCCAAAAAGTTCATCTTAAAACCCCATTACATATTCATTCCACTTTTTCACAAACTTTCTGAAGCCTCTTTACATACATTTTTAAGCAATTTATTCTAGCTAGCTATTATGTTGTTTTTTTGGTTTTGTTCTTTTGGAACTGTTGAGTTAATTCCAACTCCCAGCAACTCCATAAGACAGAACAGAAGTGTCCCATAGAGTTTTCTTGGCTGTAGTTTTACAGAAACAGATAACCAGGTGTTTCTCCTGCAAAATCAGTGGGAATTGACTCAATGGCAACCAGGCTTATATATTCAGATATGTGGTCCATCACACAGTAGAAGCTCTATAGTGTAAGTACTATAATTCCTGAAGCTGGGACAGGAGTAAATGTTGAATATACCAACTGTGCCTCCTGAAATTCCAACAGGGTTATCAATAACCAGTGAAAACTTAAACCAAACTATAAGTACAATGACAATAAAATCATTTGTCTTCATTTAATCACTAGATAAATAGTTCTTTTGAGACTTTGGGAAATGCATCCATTATTTAATAAATTTCTAGTATAGCATAACAGGTTGGAAACCACAATGTTCATAGTAGAGTGTAATTTTATACTGTTCTTTTATTTAAGAGAAAACAAATTTTCTAGTTTGAAGAAATTTTAATACAGTTACATAAACATTCAACCAACTCAATCTGAGAGCATTCTTTGAGATGGTTATGAAAAATAAATAAATAAATTCCAGTGCCATCAATTGAATCTGATCCATAGTGACTCTATATTGTTGTTATTAAGTGCCAGTGAGTCAGTTATGACTTATAGCGACCTTGTACAGGGTTTCTGAAGAGTAGTTAATGAGTTTGAACCACAAACATTGTGGTTTGTAGTGTTTAATATAACTGCTGGGTAGTATTTCAGAAACTGTTAATTTTGTGGGTGCAGATAGCCTGATCTGTCTACAGCACAGTGGCTTATGGGTTTGAATCAGTGACCTTACAGTTATCAGCCCAACGTTTAATCCACTGCACCACCAGGGATCCTTTGATTGGCCATCTTAAAATATAGGCAGTATCTGGGTTACAACGTGATCAATTACTTTAAGTTAAAATTGTTGGTAAGTCGAAACATGTGCATACAGTTTTTAATTTAGTATTGTAAAAAAAGGCTTGAATACTCTTCAATAATTTAAAAGCTGCACATGCAACAAGTTAAGGTAATTGTGATGAAGAAATTGTTGTGAGGCAGTATTGGTTGAAACAGTGCAAAGTGAGGGCTAATTTAGATATTATTAAAAGGCAATTACAAGTTGACCTTAAGTTGGATGTTTGTAACTTGAGCACTTACTATATGTATATGCAGATCTAGATACAGTCAACTATATATAAAATGTTATATAGAAGGTAAATGCCCTAGTATTGGGGGACTTTGTTGCTGAGAGTGCTTTCTGAAATACTAGAATTTGGTCATTCTACTGACAAAACTCTCAAGACATTTGTTCACATAACTTGAATATGATTTTACCTGAAATTTTAAGAAAATTAGAAGGCAAGTTTGTATAATAGCAAGAATAATTAGAATCAACAGAAAAAAATCTCCTAGTCACTAATTTAATAACATAAATAAGTCAGATTTTCTTTTCCATATTTACTATCTTCCTCAATAAAACAACAGAATTCAAATAAACATCTGCAATATTTTCAATACCTTACAATCTAAGAACAGATCAATAGAATACTTACGTTCTGGATTATCTGTTGAAGTAGGTACTTAAGAAAGCAAGCATGTGGTTTACAAAATGAAAAAAATAATGAAATTGTACTTACTCAAACACCCTTGGCTCTTCAACCATCCCAAACTCATTTATTAATTTAAATTTAATACATCCATCCTTCATTGTTTTATTCATAAAAAGTACACTGAAAACAAAATAGTATGCTACAAAACAGAAATATAGAGCCCAGTTCACTTTTTCTTTGAATTTGCTTTTGTACATATATAGCTACGTGTGCATGTCTATATGCAAATAATATTCAGAAGCATTTATTAGGTAAATCTGGTAATATATTTTACTTCTTAGTTGACTATTTTCTGCTAATTTAAAAAATAAAAAAAAAGGATTGATGAAGCCTGGCAATGGCTTATGGATATGGTGAAGGATTGGTCAAGTAGCAACCAAAACCTAAGGATGTAGTTCAATTGAAAAGCATCCCCCCACCCACCCCAGTGGGTCATTTAAGGAAAATAGGATATGATTCTTTAACTGCCATGAATTATCCCAGGTAAATTTGCTTAATATATATAATTCCCAAATTCACTGACTATTTAGGAATCCCTGTGGAGCTAATAGAATTGCATTCCTATAAAGTGACACATGAGTTGGAATGGATTTGACAGCATGACTTTACTTTTTGTTTTGTGATTTATTTTTTCAATTGAGTGAGCCATAGTAGTCTTTATGCAAAATGTCCCTACTAAAAATGATATAGTAGAGGACTTCTGGCAAGATTGTCGAGTAGGCAACAAACCACACAGACATTTTACAGTTAAAGGTAAATAAGATCTTATGAAAATAGATGCAGATGGCAGTCCTGGATCCCTGAGCTTCAGAGGAAGGGATAAAGAAGTGGATTTAATGCTTACTAGAAGGAAAAGCTAAATAGGCACAATGAAAAAGGAGACAGGTGTATTGTGGCAGCCAGCCAGCTGTGGTGTAGCCATCTTTACATTTCCAAGTATCATTGGAAACAGACAGTGGTCTGGCAGTGCAGATGCACACTGGTGGTTAGAAATGTGAGATTCTTTCATGTTCCCCATACTCTCCTGATTATCCCCCACCCTTTTCTGTCTCCATTTGTAACTCCTGCTTTCCAGGTCATCAGAGCCACCCAGTTGTGAGCCGCCCAGTGAAGAGCTGCATCATTGTGAGTTGGGTGCTAGTTGTGCCCACTGGACAAGAACCAATACCAGCTGCTACACACCTGATCAAAGACAACAGCCAACATAAGCTAAACCCATGTAAACTGAGCTATGAAAATGGTGAATGGAGAGAATGCTTCCATTCTCTAATCACACTTACCCAGTGGCAGTGACCAAGATATAGAGCTAGAAAATATTTATAAGGAAGAAAAAGTATTCAAAAGAATGATACTATACACCTTGAGAAAGAGATAAAGGAAAGCAAGGTGAGCACAAAAAAAAAACTTTGGAAGAATTCAGGAAAACAGTACAAGAAGAACAGACAAAATAGATGAAAGACTGAAGACAATATAACTCCTGCAAATAGAAATTCAGAAAATTAATACTGAAATTTCAGAAAAGGATAAAACGTTGGAAGGGCGAAGGAGTAGATTGGAATCAATGGAAGCATTAATTAATGATCTTGAAGATAAATGTCTCAATGGTAGCATGTTAGAAGAACAATAAGAAAAAGGAGAAAGTCCAAAGAAAACCTATGATTTATGTGAGACACCATTAAGAAAAATAACAAGTGATTGGAATTCCAGAACACAAAGAGACAAAGAAAAGCACAGAAAAAACTGTCAAAGAGTTGTTGGAAAGAAATATCCTTAACATCATGAAAAATGATAAGATAAACATTGAAGAAGCGGAACAAGCCCAAATAGAACAGTTACCAAAAGAAAATCACCATGACATATCACAATCAAATGTTCAAAAAATATAGACATGGAAAGACACTTGAAAGTAACCTGGGAAAAGTGAAAAGTTATATATAACAGAGAACCAATAAGACTAAGCTCTGATCTCTCAGCAGAAACCAGAGAGACAAGAAGGCATTGGGAAGGCATAAATTGCCAAACAAGAATTATATACCTTTCAAAACTGTCCCTCAAATACAATGGTAAAATTGGGGCAGTTCATAAATTAAAGGAATTAGTAATAATCCAACCAAAAATTACTAAAGGGGGTTCTTTGTACTGAGAACCAACAACAGGAGACAACAACCTGAGATTAACATACCTGACAACAACACCAGCCAGGATTCAACCCAGATATAGAAGCATCCAAAGTTAAACTACATGATCCTATGTGGATCATGACAAGCTATGGATAACACTGCAAAGAACTGGTATTACAGAACACTAAATTGTACTAATAGACTCTGTACATAGACCAAGAGACAGTCATTCTAAAAGAAAAAGGGAATATTGAATGGTTTAGAATCAAGAAAGGTTTGAGCCAATGTTATATACTTTCACAATATGTTGAGAAAATAATCCTAGAAGCTAGATTATAAGAAGAATGTGTTATTAGGATTGGAAGAAGAGACATTAACAACTTGAAATATGCAAATTGCATGACCTTGCTTGCTGAAAATGAAGAGGACTTAAAATACTGAAGAAGATCAAAGACTTGAGTATGGGTTGCACTTCAATGTAAAGAAAACAAAATTCCTCACACATGGATCAACAAACAACATCATAAACAGAGAAAAGATTGAAGTTGTCAAAGCCTTCATTTTGCTTATATCCACAATCAACACTCACAGAAGCAGCAGTCAAGAAATAAAACAATATATTGCATTAAGCAATGCTCCTTCACAAGACTTGTTTAAAATACTCAAAAGCCAAGATGTTAGAATGAGGACTCAGATGCGCTTGATCCAAGTCATAGTATTTTCAATTGCCTCATATGTATGTGAAAGTTGAACAGTGAATAAGGATTGATGATTTCATTGAAATGTATAAATTCACAGAAGAAGTGACCCATTTGAAATATGGTGCTAGAGAAGAATATTAAAAGTACCATGGATTGTCACAAGAATAAATATATCTGTGTTAGAAGATGTACAGTCAAAATGCTCCTTAGAAGTCAAGAGTGTGAGACTTTAGGTCTCATACTTTGGAAATATTATGAGAGGCCAGCCTCTGTAGAAGGACATCATGCTTGATAAAGTGGAGAGTTAGTGAAAAAGAGGAAGATCCCCAAGGAGATGGATTGACACAGTGGCAGCATAAATGGTATCAATCATAATAATTGTGAGAATGGTGCAAGGTCTGGCAGTTTTTTCTTCTTTTGTGCATAGGGACAATATGAGTCAGAATCAACTTGATGGCACCTAACAGCAACAACAACAAAGTAAACAACCTACATGACTGAAAGTAAGGAATCAGAGACACCAATTTATAATGAAGGCAGCTACAAAGCAAAACGTGGGACTAGGGTAATTATGGAACTTCCAAATAGCAAGGGAGTCAAGTAGATTTCAAGATCAAACAGACTGTTTTAAACCAGGGAAGAAATTAATAAATAACTAGATAACTTCAATAAAAAGTAATATGGTGGTGGTGGATATGTGCCGTGGAGTCAGTTCTGACCCAGAGCGACCCTGTACAGGGTTTCTGAGGCTGTGAATCTTTACAGGAGCAGAAAGCCTCATCTTTGTCCCGCGGAACAGCTGATAGTTTCAAACTGCTGACCTTGAGATTTGCAGCCCGATTCGTAACCACTACGCTACCAGAGCCTTTACATAAAAAAGGGGATAAACCATAAAGATTTACTGTCTACAAGAGACACACTTTATGCTGAAAAGCAAAATTGCACTAAAAGCAGATTTGTAAAACAATGTATCAAGCTACTGATAATGAAAAATGAGCAAGAGTAGCAATATTAATTTCTTATAGAATAGACTTTAAGGGGAAAACCAGCATAAGAGACAAAGAAGGACATTATATCATGACAAAAACGTCAATTGAACAAGAGGACAGACCCATAAATATATCTATGTTCCCAAGGAAAAAGCCCCAGAGTACATGAGTCAAACTCTAATATAATTGAAGAAATAAATAGACAACTGTACAATAGTAGTAGAAGATTTCAATA